CTCATAGTGCTTGAAACTAATAAAACATAAGTGTTTATATACTAAAGTGTGTGTGGGTCATCTTACACTTTTAAAGAGACAACTAAGAGCTAGTGGGGCTCACGTACACGAGATTGGGCTCGTGGGTTTAAATCATACTATATTTATTTTTTCAGGTTGTCTTGCTAGTACCTCTTAAGAAAGTAAACTAAGAGTTTAAATTATTCTAATAAAATAAGTTTACAAGGGATAAATCACTTTCTACTTATATAGACTATTAAGATTTTATTTTTAGTTAATGTAGTGATAACATCGTCTGACATATTCCCCAACAAATTGATCCTCCAATCACCAAGAACTGCACCACCACAATTCCTCTGTAACAAGACTTGTTCATCTTCTTCTTTTCTTGGGTGGCGGTGGCAAATGACAGGGATTTGGAGTGCAATGATTTCGGGATTGAATATCTGTTTGAACGGATGAGGTTGGTCAGCCATCATGTGCATAAAGTTCTGAGTTTAATTTGAGGAAAAGGAGGTATGATATAATGAGTGGGGCATGCAGGCATCATGCACTGCTTGACTCTGTTCCATTAACAAACTTTGATGATGCTAGAAGCATGGAATCACGTGAGGGTCTTTGAGGGGTGTGAGTTTCCGCAGTTGTGTCTGTCTCTTTTTGTACGACAAAGTTGGGTATTTCACCGTTAATCTCCTTGAAAATATTGTTGGTTGGTTTCGTTGTCCTTCCAACCATTTTTATTCTTTCATAGACACTAGTTAAGATTGAAACTCCGAATCACCTATATTAATTAGGGATTCAAAACCACGCAACCACTTGTTGGTAATGTGAAATAAGGTGGTCAGTAGGATGACAAATATACACGTAATCACTGGTAATACCTGAACCCGTCCCGACTTTGACGGGGAATATTTGGTTTGATCGGGTACGGGTACGGGTATGAGTAAAATCTGATATATTAAATCGGGTACGGGTACGGGTATGAGTATGTACTTACCTGCCCCGTACTCGTACCCGAATCCGTTCCCATTCCCATTTTAATTTAATACTCACTTTTAATTTAATTATATTAAAGAATTTTAATATTTTTTTATGTATGATTATTTATTATAATATGACATACAAAAATAACCTAATTATAATTATAATATAATTAAAAAAATAATTTAAAAATATTATATTTAAAAATAAAAATAAAAAATAAATTTTTTGAAGGATACGGATACGGGTACGGGTATACCCGATACCTGATGGGGACGGGGATGGGGATGAAAATCACATACCCGACGGGTACGAGTACGGGACCGGGGATGAGTTTGACTCGCGGGAACGGGGACGGGTATCATTGAAACCCGTACCCGCCCCGTCCCGTTGCCATCCCTAGTGGTCAGCACTTTCCATGAATCAAGGAACGGAAAGTGGGCCCCTTACACGTGGCTGTATGAGAAAAAAAAAACAAGTGATGAAATAGAATATGCGAAGAGAAAGTCTACCGTATCCATTGTGGAATACCAGAACAGTCATTTTATTTTTATTTTTATTTTATAATTACTTATTTTATTTTTATTTTAATTTAATATTTTTAATAATTT